TTTATTATGTAGTAGTTATTTAACTAGATAGACCCAGTTGCGAAAAATTCGCGGCCTCGATGGGAGTCGAACCTACACGGCAGGGAAGGCTTTTGCGCAGTCAATGCTCTACCACTCAGTTACGAGGCTCACCGTGCGCCGTGAATTTAATCACACGGCGTCCGCATTGGTGGATTCCATACGTGTAGTAAAGCTGGGCAAGCAAATCTGTCCAAGTGTGATTAAATTCACGGTGCACGGTGAGCCTCGCAGCTCAATGATAGAGCGTTGGCTGTGCAAAAGCCTACTCTGCTGTGTGGGTCCGGCTACTACCGAAGCCGCGAATTTTTCGCAATTGAGTCAATTGATGTACTGAAATCTGCCAAACCCCTAACAATAGTTACTAAGTATATTTATCTTACGTTAGTTGTTTATCACTAAAATATCAACTGAACTAAATTTTAATTAAATTAATAAATAAAATAATAAACTTAAAGCTAAACTAAGCTGAAAATAAAATAAAACTAAAAGTAACCACCGGCTAGGCGTATCTCAAGTGGGCGATCAATCAAACTTTTACCGAGAGTGACTCTCTTTTCGTGGTACACCCTTTTATAAATCTGGCATATTGGAACAAATCGTTAGGTCAATTATACTGACAGGTGTCAGATACCTTCCTCGACTGAAATGACACCGAGCTAAAACGAGAATGGACAACAATCGGATATGTGACTCCAGTTGAAAAAGAAGGAATACGGACTGCTGTAATACTGGTGTGCTTGTAATGAGATTTTATGGGTGAGATAAACGAAACTGACACATAACCGATTTCGGAAAGCAACTTATAGAGAACATAACAGGCAAACTGGGTCCCAGCCGCGTTGACGAAACCCACTGAGAGAAAGACTTGATGGGGTGGAAGATAAACCCAAGTCTACACAAATGGCAGAAATAGGTATTAATGATAGTGATAGTTACTGGCTAGATGTTTTACCTTTTGGAGTATCTAAGAGTAATCTCTTGTAATAAGTAGGCGGGTATCAGTTGTTTGTGACAATTTCCATCTAATGCGCAAAAGGAGCGCAAAAATCCATCAGAAGAATTTGCAGACAGCGAATACAAATCCCCTAATACTAGGTTGTTGTCCTTAAAATCTGCGATGACTTTCCACCGTCCTTGTCTACTTCTATGACTGATAAATCTGACGTCAAGGGACTGGGAATTGAAGGTCGCATCATCATTGGCTGGTTGTTGAGCGAGCATCAGTTCGTAGGCCAGTCGGCAGACATTGGACGACGCAGTACAGACTAGGAGGTCTGATTTGGCCAGAGCCAAAATATCTGTCATGATGGCGTCTTCGGTCGTATCGCTCCAGGTTTTGGCCTTTTTTTGGTCTCCTAGGAATATGTAGTCTGTGTACTGCTCTCTGGCTTCTGTAAAAACAGAGGGGTCATCGGAAGCTAGGTAGACGAGTCTCTTTTTACTCCAGGTGGGAGTATTGGCAGTTCCGGTTTCCAGTTGGAATTGGACTTCTTTTAAGACGAAAAAACGTTTCACATGAACCATATACTCCGAAAGTGAGTGGAATCCGGCTTCCTGCGTGACTATTTTGTCCGTTCGGCGAACATGCACACCGACATAGGGACCACGGTCTGTCTCGGCAGCGGACCAAATCTCCTTAAACGTGGTACTGATAGCAGACTGCAGTTTCTCACTCGCTGGACGCAGAAGGAAGGACAGTAAGTGGCCGCGGAACCAGACATAGGGCGCACCGTGAATGTCTTCCATTGCAGTTGCCCACTCATCAGCAAGTCCGGGTGGATCAAATTGTCCTCCATTGAGATATTCGGTAAAAGGCATATGCACTGCCTCCTTGCTTTGAACAGCAGTCAAATTTCCGCACGATGTGATTGGTTGGAAGGTATCACCCCAGACATTGCCCTTGATGAGAAGAGTGCGATTCATAGCAAATGAGTTTCCGAAAGTGTATGCAACATGATGGCAAACGCAACCAAATCCGCAAATCCTACGACTTTCTGTAAGAGCTATTTTCTTATTACGGCAATGCCTAGGATACTGTAGATTTAAAATTTGCCTTTGTAGTCGCAGACTCAACGATTTCATTCGAGTGCATCTTTTCTCTCTTCTGCCATTCAGTTGATCAAATATATTTAGCCTGGCTGAAAGTTGTACAGTTGCCTGCTGAAGTAGCTGAGAGAAAGCGGTATTCTCGGAAAATTGACTTTTACTCAGTCGTCCAATTTCATTAATTATCAATCTGGATTGACGAAGGAGGACATCGTAGTTAGGTCTACCAGTACGATCGGGATCCTCTTCTGTGTGTTCAAACAATTTATGTAGAGAAATATTGGTCAGCGAACCATGCGTTGTCAGGAATGTTGCCCATTGCTTCCACAGTATCAGACCTACAAATAATATCGACGTCAGTGTCCGACATAACGACGTCTTCCAACCCTGTCTCGCGAAGAGCATTGCGCAAAGTGTTGTTTGTCAATAATTAACATCTACAAACTAAGAAAGTATGCGTGAACAACCAATCAAAAGCATCAAGTGCCAAATTCGTTTCCGGATTGGGTAATAAGGTATGCTTAGTCGAGAGGCGCCCATGAGCGCAAGATGGCCTGACAGAATCAGACTTAAGGTTCTGTGCTGAGTCATTCGGCTTCCGCTCTGCCAGGGCTTACACCTGTAGTGGTCGTTTCTGCCCGACGCCTAGCTAACTCTTGACGTCACAGACAAGGTCACTCAGAGCAGGACCTTGCGCGAAT